TGCGGTCGCTAATGTGCGGCGCTCTTGTAATAATTTGCAACTAACACGGTAGTCGCTTCTATTATTTTTAATATTTATTAAAAAGAAATAAAAAAAACCTTAGTATAATAAAAAAAAATAAAAAAAACCCCTTATTCCTTAAAAAAACAAAAAAAAGGCTATTGCCACCAAAAAAAAACAAGAATTATCAATCAGTCTTATACTCTTATTCACCTTCATAAACAAGAACAATCATACTCTTCCTAAAAAAAACAAAAAAAAAACCCTTAATCATTTAACTCGTGAAACAAAACAAAAAAAAGAAAAAAAAAAGAATTAATCACTCTGAAAATACACGCAGAAGGGTTAATTTTAGAGAATCAACCCTCAGCCCCTCACCGTCGTTCTTCATCTTCCTTAGCTCCACTGCGCCACCACGTCTCTTCCCAGGTAAGTTTAAATGCCTTCCACCCTTCGCTTATTGTAATTTGTCGACTATGAATTTTAGGGTTATCATTGATTTTTTTTTGGGGTCCAATTATTGATTTTAATTTGGTTTCCATGGTCTAATTGAAGTCAATTAATTAAAAATCAATCAAAATTGATTGAGTATGCAAAAATCCTTAATGATTTTCAATGTAAAAATCCCATTTCTAGTTATTTCGACCCCTTTTTTTAACTATTATTTGTAAAATATATACAAGTATATTTCATGAAGAAGGGGGGGGGGGGGGTTGTTGTTAATTGAATTCTCGTTTTGCTCTGAATTCCAGTTCATTAGAGGATAATTGAATTCTTGTTTGCTCTGATTTTATTATGTTTTTAGCCTAATTTGCTGCTGGTTAGTTGTCATGGCAACCGTTGTGGGTGGTTGCTAGAATAACAGTATGTTAATTGAGTTTGCTCCTAATTTGAGTTGTGGGGCAGCAAGTTATTCCAATTGGATATAAAAATTTACCTTGACCTGGCATCGAATGCATAAATGCATTCACTCATTCTGTTCTGAGTATCTGCTTGGTCTGAATTCACTTCACCTCTATATAATGTGTAATCATGGATCACTTATTTGGAGAATTGGAGTTTCTTTTGGATTGGATATGTGTTTGGAGTTATTATGAAGTTAAATATATTAGCAAATCATTAAAGCGAATTGGTGCTGGAGTTATGCATTTCAACTTCAGGTTTCTGTAGTGAACATATAGCTGTTGTGAGTTGTGCAAACTACTTGGGTAAGGACTCAGAGAGTCAGGGGTGAAGAACTTGTAATTAAGCATGCAAGTTTCTTGGTCATTCACTGTTAACTTGACTAAGTAACTTTTAATAGTGTTAATTACATACTACGTATGTTGATTTTGATATCCTCACATTTCCCACTACCCTCATCTTCTTATCTGGGTTGAATAAGGTGTATTGTTGTCATTGTCAAATCAGGTTTTATTTCCCAACATCTATGTGACATCAACCTTGGCCATTAGATGAGGATAACCACAATGCAAATTAGGATCAAAAACATAATAAAATCAGAGCAAATTAGGGGCAGCAACTTAGGGGATAGAATAACAGTATGTTAATTGAGATTGCTCCTAATTTGAATTGTGGGGCAGCAAGTTATTCCTTATTACGCTCTTGTAATAAGGTGTTAGTTAATTGAGTTGTGGGGCAGCAAGTTAGGGGCTAGAATAACAGTATGTTAATTGAGTTTTTTGTCCGATTTTTTTTATTTTAATTGGGTTTCTATTGCAAATTGATATTAATCTAATTATTGATTGAATTGCAAATTGGTTTAATCTGATAATATCACAGACGCGAGCATTATTCTTGAAAATAATACGAATTAAGTAACTAGAATTAGGAATTAGTATTTCTCGATTATGTTTATGGGTTATAAGGGGTTATTCTTAAAAATAATACGTAGTAAGTAACTAGAATTAGGAATTGCGAATTTTAGGGTTATCATTGAGTTTTTTTTGTTCAATTTTTTATTTTAATTTGGTTTCTATTGCCAATTGCGAATCAAGAAATATTGTTTTTTGTTTTTTTTTGTACATACTGTCTTCACATTACAGTTACAATTAAGCTTAGGTCTAATTCAGTTCATCTCTCCTCCTCTCAATGGCCAAGGTTGATGTCACATAGATACTATAGATAACACATCACCTACTACTTCAAATAAAAATCCAAATGTCAACATAAATTAATTTTAATACATATAATAACTTATGTTTCAGAATTTAGGCCTTTAAATAGGCTACAGTTGTGTGAGTAAAATGTATGAAACAGAGCAAAGATGTTGCATAAAACTTCCAAGGAAAACAACCCTTACTAGCATACCATGTTTTTCAGATTTTCCAACTGTACCCCTTGACAAAAACTGACTTAAAACCCTATATAATATTTTTAGATTAGTTTTCTTATATTTTTCCTTAACTCTAGATATCCTATTCTCATATATATGATGCTTCATATTTTGATGTATGTAGTTTCCGCTGTTCTGAAATTTTGTTCCCTGATTTGGTAAAATAAATTGATTTGTACCTATCATTGTTTTGTTCTCCTTGTTTCACTATAAGTACATGCGAATTGTGGATACATACACTGATGCATTAAGTTTCTTTTTTTTTCTTCCTATTAAGTTTCTTTTTTTGGTTTCTCTATATTTATGTTTCCCACAAAATGAATATTGAACACTTCTTTTTCCATTGTTTCCAAAATAAAGAAAAAGGATTGTGTATACACTATATGACTTAACTACTGCACCTTTTCTTGCTTATCATTCTTTTGTCTTCTAAGTAATTGCCTAAATAACTAACTAACGTATATAATAAGAATATATTACATATATAAGAAGACTATATTACATATATGTGTATGATTAACAATGTCGTTTAACAGTTAGGATCATGGAGAAATTGAATCGAAAATAGATGTATGAGAGATTAGAAGGTCGACTACTAAAAAAAGAGTTCATAATTGGCGTGCGAGAGTTTATTGAGTTTGTTAAACAACACCGTGATTTTCAAGAATCTTCAAAGATCAGATGCCCTTGTTCAAAGTGTTAAAGTGGTCCTTTTTTAGATGTTGAAAGTGTAAGAGAGCATTTGTATAAAAAAGGATTTCTTAATGACTACTATGAATGGGTTTGTCATGGAGAGGATTTTGATTCTTTAAAAGCATCATATGAGCCGCCGGATCCGTATGTTGACATGATTATTGATGCATTTGGTCAAGTTGATGGTGATCCAATGCATGAAGATATTCGGAATGTTGAAGAAGAACCTAATCCTCAAGTTAAGTTTTTTGAGATGTTAGTAGCCGCACAAAAACCATTGTATGAAGGAAGTCGATTATCTGTTTTAGAGATGGCTTCAAGGATTACGAGCTTGAAGTGTGAATACAATTTGCCCCATAGATGTGTCGATAGTATTTCATCGCTCATTAGTGAAGTAATTCCTGATGAGAATTCAATGTCCAAGATGTACTATGACACTAAAAAGGTCGTAAAGGGCCTTGAACTTCCTCATGAGAAGATACATGCATGCCCTAAAGGATGCATGTTATTTTGGAAGGATAAAGCTCACCTTGAAAAGTGTTCAAAATGCGGGGGGGGGGGGGGAGCGTTATAAGAAGACTTGTCGTGGAAAATGTGTGCCGGCCAAAGTGTTATTCTACTTCCCGATCGCGCCAAGGTTGCAAAGGCTCTATGCGACCAAAGACCTTGCACATGAAATGCAGTGGCATTCACAAAATCCTAGGGTAAGTGGAACACTCGCCCATCCAAGTGATAGTGAAGCATGGAAACATCTTGATAACACATACAAGGATTTTGCAAGTGAGCCCCGTAATGTTAGATTGGGTCTATGCACAGATGGTTTCTCAGCACATGGAAAATTTGGAAGGCAATATTCTTGTTGGCTAGTAATTGTTACCCCATATAACTTGCCTCCATGGTTATGTATGAAGAAGTCGTTTATGTTTTATCCTTGCTCATTCCGGGTCCTAAAAACCTAAAAGGGAACTTGGATGTGTACATGCAACCCTTGATTGACGAATTGAAATCTTTATGGGAAGTAGGTACAATGACATATGATGTATCCACAAACACAAATTTCAAGTTACGAGCTGCCCTTTTATGGACGGTTAGTGACTTCCTGCGTTTGGGATGTTATCTGGTTGGACTACATCGGGAAAGATGGCTTGTCCATACTGCATGGACAAGCATAGATCTTTTTGGCTAGACAACGGCTCTAAAGTATCATGGTTTGATAGTAACCGTCAATTTCTCCCTCTTACACATCCTTATAGAAAAAACCGCACGGCTTTTTTCAAAAAAAGAGTAGAAACTCGATTGCCTCTACCAATATTGACGGGCCATCAACTATGGGAGCAGGTTGAGGAGATTCCAAAGTCCATTGATCCAAAAATCCGTTCGACAAAATCAAAAAAGGTTAAGACAGGGTGGCATAAGCAAAGCATCTTTTAGGAGCTTCCTTATTGGAAAGATTTGTTGATTCGACATAATTTAGATGTTATGCACATTGAAAAGAATTTTTTTGATCAACTCATCCACATAATAATGAATGTGAAAGATACCGCAGTTGATACAGATAAGGCTCGCCTAGATGTTCAGCGATATTGTAAGCGGAGTAGCTTAGAGCCTATTGAATCTGATGATGGGAGCTTGATCTACCCAAAAGCACCATACACTCTTGATAAAGCACAACGTAGAGTGTTGTGTGAATGGATAAAAGATCTTAAGTTTCCAGATGGATATGCTTCTGATTTTGGTAGATGTGTGGATTTGCAAGCCTGTAAGATACATGGAATGAAAAGCCATGATTGTCATGTGTTCATGGAAAGGTTGTTGCCCGTTGGAATGAGAGAACTTCTTCCGGATAATGTTTGGAAAGCAGTCACTGAAATCAGCCAATTTTTTTGCGATCTATGCTCTTACACTATTAATGTTGATGATGTGACTCGTTTAGAAAAAAAACATTCCAGAAATCTTATGCAAGTTGGAGAAAATATTCCCACCTGCATTTTTCAATTCAATGGAGCATTTACCTGTTCATTTGCCACATGAAGTAAAAGTGGGTAGTCTTGTGCAATATAGATGGATGTATCCATTTGAGAGGTAATATACATTTTCCCAAGCCACTCCATTGTTTTCAAGTTTCTTCTATATGGTTTATAATGTTACATGTTAATGAGTTAATTTAACTTATTTTGTAGATTTCTTAATCATCTGAAGAAGAAAATTGGTAATAAGGCACGAGTTGAAGGCTCAATTTGCAAGGCTTATCTTGCAGAAGAGATTTCCAACTTGGGTTCTTATTACTTTCAACCTCATGTTGATACGAAATCTAGAGATCTAGGACGCAATGTTGTTGTTGATGATGATCTAGATTCAACTATACCAGAATTATTCCAATTTAGCAAAGGTCGTGGCAAAGGTGTCCAAACAAGGTTTTTAGATTCGAAAGAAGTCAAGCATGCACACCACTATGTTCTTTCTAATTGTGGTGTGTTAGGAGAATATGAAAGGTAAAAATTTCTATAACTGGTAGTTATTTTATGCAATTTGCTAGATAAATGACGTTTTAAGGTTTATAGGAAGTTTGAAGAGTCGATGATGGAAAAATATCCTAGTATTGACCTTCATGATATTTGGAGCAAGTTTTCACATGAATTTTCCAAATGGTTTCAGGATTTTGTAAGTTTTAACAATCAAGTTTCAATATATCATTCCCTAAATATGACTAAGGTTATATATTTTATTAATTAATGGCTTGAATTTGAAATTAGGTTATCGAATCTAATGAGACTGATGAAGTGATTCGAGCACTTGCCATGGGTCCGTCTAGACAAGTCAAAATATGGAGGCAATTTGACATCAATGGCTTTAAGTTTCACACTTTTGATTATGGAAAGCACAAGGCAACTATGAATTATGGTGTGGGTGTAATAAGTGAGGAGGAAATTGATTACTTTAGCATTTTAGAAGAAGTCATTGAGCTGGTGTACTTGGGGACCGTAAATGTCTTCAAAATCGTCTTTTTTAAATGTAATTGGATGGATTCAGTGAATGGCATGAATATTCATGAGCAGTATAGATTAGTTGATGTGAACCACTCTAAGAAATACTCTGCATATGATCCTTTTGTTCTAGCACATCAGGTTTATCAAGTGTATTTTACCTCTTATCCAAGCTTAAAGAAAGATAAGAGTCAATGGTGGGCTGTTTTTAAGACTAAAGCTAGGTCAACTGTGGATGTCCCAATCGATGATTCAATTTTCCAAGTAGACATTGCTGAGACCCCAACCCTTTGTTCAGATGATGATGATGGTGTTATGTACGAGGATATGGATGAAATGGAGGAGGACGCCTCAGGTGGTGAAGAGGTAGAACAACATGAAGAAGATGAATGAGATGATACTGAATCTGAATCTAAAGAAGAGGTTGATGGAGAGTTAGGATATAGTGACAGCGATGACGAGGATGATGATGATGATGATGATGAGGATGATGAAGAAGAAGAATAATTTCAAAGCTTGTAGTTTTCAATATGTTTTCTTTGTTATGAGCTTATTTGTTTGATAGACAATGTGTTTTATCTTATTTGTTTTATATATGATAAAATGTTTTAAAATTTGTTGATCATGTTTGTGAGCTTACTTTTTTTTTTAAAAAAAATTATCATGGGTTATTATGTATAAATTAATTTTTGAGCTTATGATCTTTCCAGTTCTTTGGAAATGAAATCCTTCATGAAAAATTCAAAAATTGGTCGGGGAGGTAATCAAGGCGGTGTCCGAGCCAATAATCAATCGGTTGTTCAAGACAATCTTGTGGTCACACGACCCACACCACCACCTTCTAATGAACGGGTACAAGTAAATTCTAATATTGATGTTACTGTTGAGAATGATGTGGCACCACAAAATTTGAATGGAGTGGAACAAGGAAAGATTGAGCTCTCACCAGATGGGCTATGGTCATTTATATTCATCTATGTATTATATTTGTTGTCTTAGTAACTTATTATCATTTTTTATGCTTTTGCTTAATCTTTCTTGCACAGGTTTGATGACCATACCGTTAGTGGAAATGTCACAAAATCTTGGAAGGCACACTACAACCACCCATACATGAATTTTACTGAGGTTCCACTTATGGTTAGGGATCGTTGGTTCACTAAGTTTAAGGTATGTTTAGAATTTAAGATTTTCTCTTGTATTCATTGCTCTTAAACTAGTGAAGTTGCATGTTTCAATATCAGCTTTGATTCTCTAATTCTTTGTGGAAAGCATGACCTATTCTATGTTGAAAGCATTTCATATTAGGGCAGAGTAGATTTAGCCATTTTTTTACTCCTGCATTGGTATTAGGAACCAATCAGTCAGACTAAATGCCAATTGACAAGTTGTGCTTGATCTAGATGAAGTGAGTTACTCTTGATGATTGATGATCATGATCATTTATTGTTCTATGTTTGACCTTTAAAGTAACTCCCTTGAGCTCCCAACTAAAGGAAAACTAATGGATTGCATTTATGTTGAAAACTAATTTTGCCCTGGTCATCTCTGATCACAGCCCCAAGACCCACTCCCCATCCCTCCTTCACAGCAGCATCAACATTGATGCATAAAACCCCAGCAGCAGCAGCAGGTAATGAGTTGGTGGTTATTGCTCTTTTTTCTATTAAAAGATCTACTTATGCAAAGTCCACCCTAGATGGACCTTAGGTTGCTGGCCCGGTGAGTAAGTGGTAGACATTCAAGACAGTGTTATTTCTGTTACCTTGTACAATATGAATGTTAAGAGTTAAATGACATTAAAACGTTTCAATATATTTACCTAGCTAGCGGATGAATAGCAACCCGAGGCATATTTCGGGCCACACACTAGTTATGAGATAAAAATAGTATGATGTATATGCCAAAAAAATGATGGAAACACCAATCCTTGATAACCTACTACATATCCTCCAAGTTGTATGCATAAATAAATTGTATTACTTTTCTAACCATATCATAATCAAATTTTCTGCTTTTACTTAGCTTATTTTGGATTCTCGCGTTATACAAATTAGTGAATTACCAACTACACCTATAACCTATTGCATACCCGCTTTTGTTAATAATATACTCGTAGTTAATATGATACATTTCCTAGTTCCATCCTACATTTAGACATCAAAGTATTATACTCTACATTCACTTTCTCTTAATTTCTTTCAAGTTGTTATGTTAAGGGAAAAAAAATACTCGAACTAGAGACCTTCAGAGTGTCAGACTGATCACTGACCTTAAGAGTCCATATCATATTCATATAACTATATTATTGTTATACTAGATATTTTCCTAAAAGAAATTTTCAGTGGCAAAAAAAATATTTTCCTAAAAGAAATATCATCATATTCATATAACTATTGTACCACAAAAGTTATGGCCTGTAACAATTACATGGCCTAATTCACATCCTAATAAAAAAGTAGAAAACATTTATGTGCTTATGTTCTGGCATTACTACATCAGTAGCAAAGATTAACCTGTAAAATCGACATTTAGAGAAAGTTTACAATCTTCACAATAGAAGCTACAATGCTAGTATGCCAGAATCTTGTTTGATCTTCATGAAGGCTCTACATGTTAGCCAGTGTTTTGATGCTTAAGGGATGACAGATATCACCCAATGGCTGACCATATAGGTAGCAGACAACTATTAAATTAATGCATATACTCTATTGCCCTTTTGGAGTGATGGCACAATTGTATCTGATTTATATTTCACTTGGTAATGCTGGCCATATTTACTGCATGGCTAGATAAAACAGTCTGAAGTTAGAGACAACAATCTGAAGTTGGGCTGCTTTATGATAAATAAATCAGAAATAAAATTATTAATGTATAATATGCTATTTTGACTTAAAATAATTTACTTTACTTGTTAATTATGTGCAGCGTACATATACTTGGAGACCTGAGTTCGATGCTAAGGCTGGGAGAGAATTTGACAAAAAAGCTGGGGACCGACTTAGGGGTACATTGAACCAAGTTTTCAAAATAGCTCTCCATAAGCAAGTTAGTTTCATGATAGACACTGTTCGAGCTGAATTCATAAATAAGCGTAAGCATCCTGATTTTGTGAAACGTTCTAACCAAGAAAGAGATAATCGGTTATCTGGTCAAACTTCTCCCCTGGCCATCGCCAAGGTAGCGTATCTACTCCTCAAGTGGTTAAAAAAATGGTAAGTGTATGATTTTAGCAGCAAACTTATGATTTTTAATATAAGATTGAAGCAAGTAGAAATTTTTTAGCCACTAATATAGATGACTATAACTGGTCTTTATTACAATTGCTCTGTAGTCTATGTCCCCCTATTTTTTCTTGTTTTATTTAAGTGCTAACAACTTCTTCTAATACAAGGCAAAGAAAAAGGATGGAATCTTACCAACTGCTGCTGAAGTCTATGAGAGCACTCATTCTGTTTTTGTGGGCAATGATGAAGTTGAATTGATGGGTGACAAGTCTCAAAAAGTCATGGTATGAGTATACTTCTATATTTTTCTAAGATTACAAAAAGATATATGGTAGTTAATGTTTGGAGATATAATGGATTGTTTATTTGTTTGTGTGATTGAGTTGGAGGATGAGAATGATTTGCCGGCATTAATCATATGATTAATGTGGTATGGCATAATGTGAATTGAAACAGGTTTATTTTGAAGCCATACCCTATAGGAGGGAATTCTTAAGTTTACAAAGGAGACTCTGTCGAAATTTTTACTAATAACTGCTTACATAAATTATTTTACTAATAACTGCTTGGACCCTCACTACCATAAATACCATTTGCTTAGACCATAACCTAACTTTTCACTTTGTAACCAAACTCAGATGGTATCTAAATAAATCAGATGGTATCTAAAGGCAAGTTTTTACTGCTATGTACTGATCTAATGTCCAAAATGAAAGACTATAAGATAACAATTAAATTGTGTTTTAGAAGTCCAAACAAGTTTTTATACCGGACGATGTCCCGAGTCATTGCTTGTATTTTTATTATAATTGTTTTTTTTTAAATGTATTTAGTTTATTTAAGTTTTAACATTTGAGATCATAGTTACTAATACATATCTTAATGCAGGGAGAATATATGGAAAAACTTGAGGAATATAAGAACAAAGGAATTGAGATAAACCTCGACAAAGTCTACTTGGAGGTTGTAGGTGGGCAAAAGAAAGGAAAAGTCTACGGTTTAGGGAGTGCTTCACATATGTATTACAAGAGTGATCCTACTTCTCAATCTACTGCATCATCTTCCACTCCTTCCATGATTTCTCAATTAAGTTCTCAAGTTGAAGAACTAAAGAAGATGGCGGAAGAAAACCATAACGAGGTAGAAGAAAGCCAAAAAAATAGCGGCAGAGAGCTTAAAATGTGCTAAGGAGTTCATCGAAAATCATGAGATCGAAAAAGCTACATGGAAGAAGGAAAAATTAGCTATGCAAAAAACATTGCAGGAAATGGCATCACTTGTAAAACAAGTTTACCGTCCTTATAAGCCTCCTACGCCTTCAGTCACCCGCTCTCGTGATACAACTAAGTGATTTTTATTTTCTTGGTGGTAATTTTATGAACAACTGGTCTTTTACATTCTCATTAATTCTTGTTTGAAGTAGCTTTTTTTTATATGGGAGGTGACTTTTGGAACAATTAGTCATATGAGTTAAATATTATTTTTTAATACATTGATACAAAATTGATTGATATTTTGGATATTTGAATAAAATTAACATTTTGGTTATTTGAATTTATGCGTGGGTACCTTTTTTTGTTTCGTGATTATTATTGGTCGTCGCTTAGTTATGGTCTCAAATATTGATAGTTAGTCGCAAATATTTAGCGACTACAAATTTGGTTTATAGACTAATTGGTTAGTTGCAAAATCATTAGTCTCAGTAGTCGCTAATCTGTCACAAATAATTAGTTTTGTAGTCGCAAAAATTTGGTCTCGTATGTAGTTGCTAATCCGTCGCAAAAAACATTAGTCTTAATAGTCGCAAATCCGTCACAATAAAACTAGTCTCTGTAGTCGCAAAAGTTTAATCTCGTATTCGTAAAAATTTGGTCTTGCAGTCGCTAATTCGTCGCAAAAGTAGTCTTAAAACATTGATCTCTGTAGTTGCTAATCCGTCGCAGATATATTACGACGGACAATAATTTAGTTGCTAAAATTTGAAAGTTAGTCGCTAAATGGTAGTTGCAAAGGCATTGCAAATCTGTCGCTAACTTTTCGACTGTTCAAAAATTAGTCGCAAAAATGGATTTGCGACGAGGTCTTTGGCAACGAACCAAAGTAGTTGCAAATCCGTCGCAAATCCATTTTTGCAACGTATTTGCGACTACTTTGGCCGTCGCTAATTACCCTTTTTCTTATAGTGAGAGGCTCTTAGAGATGAGTGACCCATCTAGGGCCACAAAGGTTTCAATGTCTTAATCGTCACCTGAATCATGGTCTGTCTGGACCACTATTTCTTCCAGAGGCCGATTGATCTCTGGACGCGGCACAGGTTGCTCTTTTAAAGCCATCTTAGAGGTACTCTCCCCACAGACGTCGCCAAATGTTTTAGGGTTTTTTGTGTCCCTTGGGAGAGTTACAGCTCAAGACCGGATTCAACAAGGACGTATGTACTACAAAATAAAAGGAGCTCCGAATGGTAGGAGGTTCGCCTTCAAAGAGTAAGTTAGTACGGAATCAGAGTACAATCAACGTGCGGAAAGTAAGTTATCTGCTCGGATTCCAAGCTCAGGTGTTCTCTATTTTAGAGAGCAATAAATGCCTTAATGGTTAAGACGTAAAGTTCGAGGTGTAAAAAAATTGTCCTAATAATAGGGAGAATCTCCCTATTTATAGGGTCCTAGGAAAATGTGTCTTACCATAGGGTACGATGACATAGGGATTAGGGCAACACCATTTTGCGGCGCCCTTGAAGTTTGGGCCTTGAAGGCCGCCTTTTCCAAAGGGGGAATATCTGAGTGAAACGTGTCACACATCTAGAGGGACCATTTGGACGCCTCCCAGAGTGACACTTGTCGCTCTCTTATTGGTCCACTTGGGGATATTAAATACCCCAAATCATGCTCAACCACATAAGTAGGCTGGCAAACATAGAAGGTGAGCTCACTAGAAGACTCAACCATCCTGCCTGAAGCAGCAGGAGAAGGAAACGACAAAGAAGTAGCAGCGTTCCTGCCGTGTACTACATAATGGTCAAATCGACTCATGTCAGCCATGTCATCAAGCCAAGCAAAACTGTTTAAAGGCTGAACATGGGGAATGAGGTAATAAGGGAAACATCATGGGGATTAGCCTTGACCATGTAGGGTAAAATCTCATGGCACATCGTGCGCCTCCTTAAATGAGTGAGGTGGGGCACAGGCAATCTATCCTAAATCAGTTCCCGCTTGCAATAAGGGTCGAAAAAGTCTGGACGAGGTCCAAGCAGAAAAGGTCGGAACATACGACTTTTAGCAGGGCGACTACTACCCGAATCAGGCAAAGAGGAAGAGGCCATGGCAGTACCCGTCCTGCTCGTAGCAGGGGGACAGTCAAAAGGCATAACCATTTGAATAGGAAGGGGGGAATAAGCAGGACAAGTAAAAGGAGTGTTCGTAGAGCGCTCACTTAAACGGGGAGACTCAGAAGAAGAAGAGTGTGACTCAATGGTCACGTGAGGCTCACTCAAATTTTAACTGTCAGAAGCGTCGGACATTCTAAAGATCTACAAAGACAAAGAAGCCCCCGAAAGAAGAGAAAGACAATAAGGTGCCAAGAGTCAAAAATTAGTTTATTCTTAAAGAAGAAAATGCTGGAAAGCAACACAAGAACAGGAAGAAAATTTGGGAATACTAATACAACAACAGAAGAGGAAGAATTAGACGCGGACAATCAGAATTGATTAAAAGACGCAATTTTGCGAAGGAAAACAGAAAAAGAAATAAAATTGAACATAAACATACAAGATAAGGTACAAAGTTAGTACCTTTGTGACGAGAGGTTGTAGAAGCAACAACGTACAACAACAATGGCGACCCAAGAAATCAAACAGAGAACAAGGTTTAAACCGGCAACCAAAAGGCAGGAAAATTCAGTAAAACTGAAGAATAAAATAAAACGAGCAAACAAACGGACAAGGAAACAATAACGAAGCAAGTGTGCAGAAGAGGAGACGGAAACTTACAAGGGTAATGGAGGAACGACGTGCGTCTGGGAGAAGATGAAGGACAAGAAAATTTGAAAAAATAAAGGGAAGATGAAAAGATGAAGAATATAAAAAGAAAAAGAAAGGGGGGGGGGACAATGAATTAAATACGGAGTAAATAGGTGGTTGAGTAAAAATACAAAAATAAAACCAAACCGCCATGTCACTTAAGTAAAAATAAATTGACGACTCGGATGGATGACACATGTCCCACTCATGAAAAACACCATTCCCGCCAAAAAAAAGAAAAATAAATAAAACTTCAGCGGGAGTGATTGAAATTCCTCCCTACAAGCTCTCCATTTTTAAGACTTCAGCGTTAGTGATCGAAATTCCTCCCTGCAAGTTCGACATTTCTCAGACTTCAGCGGGAGTGATCGAAATTCCTCCTTGCAAGCTCGTCATTTCTTAGACTTCAGCGGGAGTGATCGCTCCCTACAAGCTCGTCATTTCTTAGACTTTAGCGGGAGTGATCGAATTTCCTTCTTGCAGATATGTTACCTCTAAGATTTTAGAAGGAATGATTGACATCCCTCTTTGCAGTCCCGTCATGTCACAAAAAGACATACACATTCCAGGCAGAAGAAAGCCACTATTGACGAGCAGCAGCACAATCGCGTTATCACCAAATTACAGCTTGTTGGGGTTTAGTCAGTCCGACTCACCGCGGAAACAAACCCAAAACCAAGACCGCACTTGCAATAAATAAAACCATAAACTTATTTTAATTAATAATAAAATTAAGATAAAACGATTACCTTTTGGAGCGTGCTTTGGCTGACCGAATGGGCTCTTACTTGAAAGCTAGCTTCGAAAACACGAAGCCTCCAACGTTGATCCACCCGCACCAACGAATACCGGCAAGGTCCAATGTCTTGGGGTTAGCAAGACCCGATCGATAAAACCCGAGTAATTAAGTTCAAAGGCTTTCACTAAATGTGATTCCTTTTCCAACTCTTGAGTTTAAGGGTTTTCACTTACTAGTGATGCCCTTTATAACTCTTACTCAAGAATCATTTTTAATGCCCTTACTTGGGTATTTATGGGTATTTATAGCAAGCTAGTAATAAATCAACAAGTGTCAACTACATATGAGGGAGTAGGTGAGGACCACATGGAGAGAGGGGGACCAAACTTGCTCCCCACTCTCTCCCTCACCTTGCGCCACTTGGCAGCTCCCTCCAACCCACTCATGTGGGCTTCCCACATGTTGCCGCTGCTTGCTACTCGGCCCAGCCAAGCCCTGCACCAAGGCGGGTTGATGTTGCTAGCCTTCTCGACCAGCATGCCTACGCACATGCGTGTGGGCTGCTGCCGCGGAGGGCTAATGCTAGCACGCATCGCACATAGTGCGGCTGCTAGTTGCTGGCCGCATCTTGTTAGCAAGCCTCGCACTTGTTGCAGGCTGCTAACTTGGATAACCTCCTAGCACTCAATGTTTTGATGCTAGGGGTATTTTGGTCATTGTTGATTTATTACCGTTTTGTCGTCTCATCTTTTATTATTTTTCAACTCGACTTCCGACGCTCAGTTTTGACGCTCTAAGCTTGAATTTTCGACGTCTAAATAAATATTACTCGATCGACTCATTAATTCCTTCCGAATTAATTTGTCGCTTTGGCTCGTTAACTGCTTGGGTATGACCCGAGGGGTTCAGTGAAGATTAATGTAATATTAATTATGCATTAATATACTTGATCGGAAGCGGCCTCCACCCATGTATTCCGATCACTCGACCTTACTGAATATATTAGCTTTTTATTAATACTGAACCCACTATTAGAATAATACACTTGTTCGAAGGACACTATTCCTTTCAATCTCCCACTTGTCCTTCAGGACAAGTTTGCTTTTAGTGTATAGCCTTTTTCTTATGTCGCTTAATGCTTCTTCATGAATTATATGGTAAGATTATTTTGTCATCCTTATAACGTCCAAAAGTGTTTCTCGATTCCAAGTTCGAATCTCAATAAACAGATGATTTCTAAAATCCATCCGAGCACGACCATGCATTTTTACAGTCTCGTTCTACGAGAGGCCTTGTAAACAACAAAGAAATCTTCCCTAATTTTAGTAGGGGGACATTTCCAGTTTTGTAATGTTGCTTCTCTTACTAAGCGGACCTAGCCGCCCGAGTGATGACGTTATAATCCTCTGTTATGGTAGATGTTTGACAATCATCAAAGCGTACTAGTACTTAAACAAGAAAGCTCACAATACTCATGGTCAAGGAAAAAAGTTCCGATAGTAATAATGAGAAGTATACTTATGACGATTTTTTATCTCTTAAAGTATTCTCATAGTCAATCCAGTAAGGTTCTAACCCAATGCCTATGCAAATGATTCATGACAATCATGTCCTTGTCGCACATCAAAGGGTGCTATAAACCAAACTACACACTAATCTCAACTGGCCATTTATCGTCCATCGTTTAAATGACCTCGATTAGGGGTAATTTTCGATTATAATATTCAACGTTCACTTAATAGGTGTTTCCTTACCAAGACTGGTACTGATACCCTATTTTAAATATTTCAAAATCGAATGGACT